GGAAAGAGAAAGGTCAAATGTTGGCAAGCATCAAGAATCATGTTCTGTGTCATGAGCATCCTCTCTGTAGAAAGTTCTACACACGGCTGTGAAAGAGAAATAGGACTACCAGGATCTCTCCTTGCGAAGGAGGCTTTATTTTATAGCGGAAGACAAATGGGGTTGGAATGCCCCCTGTGTTAAAGCGCTGGGCACTCAGAGATGCCTGAGCAGAACCTGAAGGGGAGTCGTTGTCCACGATACTGAAGAACGTCCAGGGGAGAGGTGCGGCCGGGTCCTCCCAAAGTACCTTCCCTGTGCAGACCGAGAAGACTTTTAGGGGGTGGGGGGGTTGAGAGTCACCCCACCCTGCATCTAACACCCCTGGTCTTACCAGCCTGGCAGGGCCGCTTGGCAGTGAGGCGGGGTGGGAAAAATCAACGATCAATGGCGGTCCTTTCCTAGCTGGAAACAGAGAAAGGACTGGAAAAGATGAGAGAATATGCACCTGGCTGGCCAAGGCCAGAGCTCCAGTCGCTGGGCCTGGGATCTCCGGAATCGCGTCCTAATGGCCATAAATATTGTTCCCCGGACTGGGGCGCCCCCGTGTGGTATTGAAGGTACTGTGCTTGCGGAGCTGATTCTGTATGTGATGTTACCAAATCAAAGGGCAAGATTTGCATGGAGTTCGGCTGCGATTCTTGCCTTGTAAGATTCTTGCCTTCTAAACGCAAGATTTTCAAACAAAAATACGGAATGCCAATAGAGAGGAGTGGAATTATGTCCCTTTTGTCCCAGCAGTTTGAAAGCATAGTGGGTAAGAAAAGGGTTTACTTTGGATAAAGCCGGATGGGAGTGAATTCAGGAAAGAGGTCAGGACTCGGATTGAGAAGAGGGGGGTTTCTCCCCCTGCCGGGGTGGCTCAGTGGTTGAGCGTGGACCTACAAACCAGGAGGTCACTGTTCAATTCCCCGTCAGGGCACATGCCAGGGTTGCAGGCTCGATCCCCAGGAGGGGGCGTGCAGGAGGCAGCCGATCAATGATTCTCTCTCATCATTGATGTTTCTAGTTATCTCCCCCTGCCTCTCTGAAATCAATAAATATATATGTTTTATAAAAAGGGGGGCTTCTCCCAATGCATTCGGCTGGCAGTCAGTGTATGATGGGAGAATCTGTGGACCTGCTGGGACAGAGGGACATAAAACAAATAGCCATGAGAGGAAGGAATTGGGAGCCAGGAGAGAGATCGGTAGGGGCACATCCCTGCCACCTCTTCTTTGCCCAATACACTGGCCAGCTCCTCCTCCTCCCTTCTGCTCTCTCCCCCATTGGTCCAGGAAGTATGGAAGTGTGGGAAGTTGCCATGACAACTGTGTCCTCTCACCTCTTACCCCTTCATATCTCTGCCAAAATGCAAAGAGGAGGGTGTGACAAGAGGAAGAGCTGAAGAAGGGCAGTAAAAGATAAGGTTCATTTACCCACAACTCTTTTTTCAAAACCCGTGGGTGCGCCTCTTCCCCAGCAGAAATCCAGAAAATGTTCCCAAAGAAGGCTATGAAGAGAGTCCGCGCTGTCCCGCCCCGCCCCCCCCCCCTTCCGCTTCAGCCTCTGTCTAGGAACTTTGGGGTCCAGTGCTCTAGATGCTGGGGTAGGGTTAGGGCGAGTTCCCCTCGTGCGGTCCGGAGAAGACCTGGAGTGGAATGAGGCTCTGCTGTCTGAGGTCCTGGTCCTGCGGGTCCGGCCCTCCCGCGCCGCCCACGCAGGGCCCACAAGGCGGAGACCAGACCACCCCGGGCCTTGGGGGCGGAGCTTGGCCACTGTGCTCTCAGCGGAATCATGAGCCGTTGCCCCCGCAGGTGCAGGAGCCCATTGGGGCAGGCAGCACGATCCCTCTACCAGCTGGTGACTGGGTCGCTGTCGCCAGGTATGAGGAAGGGAGGAAGGGGCTGGACCGCTCAAAAAGTGAGCGAAGTGGGATGGAGCTTTACAAGGGTGGGGAGGGAAAGGGCCCCTCACAGATGGAGGGAGCAGGATCCCTCCAAAAAAAGTGGGTGGGGGTTAAAGGGCAGTACCCCTGACAGCGTTCCTTACGGAGGAGGTGGAGGAGATAGGGGTCATCAAGGAGGAAAGGAGAGGGGCATCATGGTCCCTCCCCATGGTAGAGGAGGGGGCAGAGCTTCTCATTGAGGGCAGAGGAGGGGGCTTCAAGCAGGTGAGTGTAGGAGGCAAGACACCTCACAGGGATAAAAGGAAGAAGCTTGCAGCAGAGCAGGGGGAAAGCACAGCCCTTTACTGGATGGTTCAGTTTAATGGGATCGTAAGATGCCTGGGGTGAGTGTCCAGAGGAAAAAAGTCTCAGGTAGGACCAGACCAACATGAACTCGGCTGGTGAGCTCAAGCATGATGGGGTGGGTAAACTTGTGTGGCATAAGGATTACATGTCACTGTTTTGTCTCTCTGAGTCGTACTGAGGGGGTTGTGCATGCATCAGTGGGGTTGTGAACGCTGGGGCTGTGTCCCTGCGGTTGCATATCCCTGGGATTCTGTGACAGTGGAACTGCATGTACTTGAGTTTTATGCTTTAGAGTTGGGTTGGGGGTTCCGGAGTCACACTACATTAGTTGTGCAGCCTTCACAAGATTGCACTTGGGTGTGGGATTTGTGGAATTTATGATATGGGGATTATGGGCATCTTACGTTGGCACTGCTATTTGTACACACTTGCACTTGGGTTTCCTTAGGGCTGCCTGGAAAACCCAGCATCCCCTCCCCTCTGGCCCCAGGGAGGCCGAAACAACCTAACCCTGGGGCATTCTGGAACCTGTAGTTCTCTGGCTCTCTCCATGGTAGCCACTTGAGCCCCTGGAGCACAGGCAGGCCTCTCCTTGCCTTGTGCTCCTCAGAAGGAGGGAGATGGGGCTGAGCCAGAGTCATACTTAGAAGTTGCTTGGGGAGCATGCGTCCCCCAAGCCCACTGCTTGGGCCTGTCTTCGGTGACAGATGGCTAGAGCCTGGCAGGGCCAGTTCTCAATCATAGGCATGACTTCCAGGCCCCAAAATAGCCCAAAGGCCTAGGAGTTCATTAATCACCTGATACAGCTGGGGGCTGCTGTGTCTTCTGGCCTGGCTGGGATAGAGTGGAGCCGGGGGACTGAGAGAGAACGCTTGGGATCTTCACTGGCTGGGATCTTCACTGGAGGAGGAAGGATGGAGAAAGTGGGACAGAAACATAGGGTGGGTGCCCCCATAAGGTCTGAATGACTAAATGGTAGAAGTATCTCTGCTGAGATTTGAGAGAACCAGGGAGGGCCCACCTAATGCTTCAAGAAAGTTTTCCCGTGAGCCTTCACTCTGTCTGAAGCACTTCCATTAAGACTTCACTCCTTTGCCCTGGCTGGTGTGGCTCAGTGGTTGGGTGTTGGTCCCATGCACCGAAGTCAAAATAATAAGCCCTAGCCGGTTTGGCTCAATGAAGAGAGCATTGGCCTGCAGACTGAGGAGTTCTGGGTTCGATTCCAGTCAAGGGCACATACCTCAGTTGCAGGCTCAATCCCTGGCCCCAACCAATCAATGTGTCTCGATATTTCTCTCACTCCGTCTTTCCCTCTCCCTTACACTCTCTCTAAAAATCAATGGAAATGCCCTGACCAGTTTGGCTCAGCGGACAGAGCGTCAGCCTGCGGACTCAAGGGTCCCAGGTTCGATTCCAGTCAAGGGCATGTACCTTGGTTGCAGGCACATCCCCAGTGGGGAGTGTGCAGTAGGCAGCTGATCGATGTTTCTCTCTCATCGATGTTTCTAACTCTCTATCCCTCTCTCTTCCTCTCTGTAAAAAATCAATAAAATATAAAAAAATAAAAAATAAAAGTCAATGGAAAAATATCCTTGGTTGAGGATTAACAAAAAACAAAACAAAACAAAACAAAAACATTAAAAATTAAAAATCAATAAAAACATATTTTTTAAAAAGACTCCACTCCTTTGAACAAAGAACTAGAGGTGCTAGAGGTGCTAGTGGAGGACGCATCTGGGCAGGTTTCTCACAGGGCCCATGGACTTGAGAGATCTCTGAGCAGGGAGAGGGGAGAACCTGAAAAACGACTCACTCTCACTTCTGACAGACCCTCCCACCAGAGGCCTGATTGATGTAGGACCTTGAGTCCCTGTAAGGCTGGGTCAAGGCTAAGTCAAGGTCTCTAAAGGTTGAGGGTGGGAGTCAGAGAGGAAAGTAGAAGGTCAGGGACAGGGCAATTGGCTGCAAGGTTGTCAATCTGTCCATCTGTGAATCAGCGTCAGAGGTCAGGGAGATGATGCTGTACTAACTCTTTCAATCCAAGTAGCCTGGCTTGGCATTCAAGGCTCCATGGACTCCGACCCTTTTGTTTTATCACTTTTAGCTCCTGGGTGACTAAGCTACAGTCATCCAGGATTGCTTGCCATATCCACATGCATTGGAGAGACAGCCTGAGGGAGCTGGCAGATCATTTGTTCTGGTTCAAGTGTTTCATTTTGTTTCATTGACTTTATTTTCTCTTTAGTTTCCAATGCCCTAGGACCGTGGTCGGCAAACCCTGGCTCGCGAGCCACATGCGGCTCTTTGGCTCAGCGGACAGAGCGCCCCTTCAGTGTGGCTCTTCCACAAAATACTATGTGTGGGCGCGCACGTACAGTGCGATTGAAACTTCGTGGCCCATGCGCAGAAATAGGTATTTTGTGGAAGAGCCGGTATTTTATGGAAGAGCCACACTGAAGGGGCCAAAGAGAAGCATGTGGTTTGCAAGCCGTGGTTT